ATATATATATGATAAGCAAGTAGCCTGTCATACAAAAGTTTAAACATTACAATTGTTTATTTAGAGACGTGTGACGGCCTTCATAGGTTTTTATGTTGTTCAAATCTGTCAGCGCATCTATGTGGTCATATTTTTTATAAAAACTATTGATTGTATTATGTCAGTTTACAATATTGTTTTAAGACATTAACGATATAAATCATAACATATTTATGGAAATTATTAATAATGGATTCTTAATTATTTAACTATGCGTAATTCCATAAGATGTTTGCTTGAAAATATTCTCCTCTTGCTTTTTTGCGCGTCAGTTCAACTTAGATGTGTGGGGTTGACGTCTCCAGCCTCTCCAGGTTTGATGATGTAAGATTTCTATTTAGAAATATACCGATACTGTTTATTATAATTTTAGAGTTATTTATAGAAATATTTTATTACGTTTATCAGGCGTGAAAACATAAGATAAGATGACTTAAGCCTTTCAACCTAATAACTCCATTAGTCAACAAATGACACATTTCTTGAAGATTACGCTGCTATCGTCGTTCCAAGCAATGTAGGCGGGAAGCTTGAAACCGATTGTATATTAATGTATAATACACACAATTCGATAATTCCAGATTACTTGGATGAAACATCCCTCGACAGGCTCGATGAATGATTAATCGGAAACTAACCTGCAAACTAATGCCATTTCTACTCAAAGATGCGCATGTATGAATATTTTAATTTAAAGAAAGTTTCTTGGTTACTTGAAAGCGACTAGTAGTAGTTATGCGGTGAACATGCTAATGAGCATTAAACTGGTTACTGGTAAATCATACAAGAATGCACATTTGAGGGATACAAATTGTTTAGAGCTCAATGTATACTATTGTTTATTGCAGCTTATTAAAAGATCTTAATTGAAAAGATACAAGTAATTTTCTCGAAACTTACTTGCATTGCAAAAACGTTCTCTAATCTGCAATCACGACGTTGAATCGCTTCTGGGATCATGTTGTGCTGCCGCTATATCTTCGTATATGTTGAGCATATTGTCAAAACAGAGACTTTTTTTAAACTCTTCTGCTAGGTCATTTTTGAAACATATATGTAAGTAGACCAGTAAAGTATCGTGGATAATAGCACTATCATACATAAGAAATTTGTTTAAATCTTGAGAAGACGAGGTAATTAAAACTAAACTGATTCTAAAAAATCTATGATTTGTCACTATAAATTGTTGAGTTCAACAACCACAATCAAAACTATCCTAGTAGAAACCTTTCAGTTGAGTGTCATCGCAATTCACATAAGACGCAACTAATTGAGCATCATAACCTAGGACAGATTTCTTTATGATGCCAGCTTTGATATAATGCTACGCATGTTGAGCTAGGTAGAACAAATCATGGTATTCAGCGGCTCGGATTCGTTATAGAATATGTTATTATTATTAATTGTTTAATAGTGAATCTAAATAGGCCACTGTAAGACGTACTACTTCCAACAGTACTGTGGAAAACTGGCTGATTTATTTTCAACGTTGACTCTTTCTTGACACATTGACAGTTTTGGCACGATTGTAATTTCATACGGTCAACACTGCACTCGAAGGCAAAACCTAAAAATTAATCAATCAATTGTGAGCCTTAATCAATCTTTAGATTAATAGGATACCTTTTTTCCATGTTATTTTTTAATTGTTTTGTGCAAATCCGTGGCTTCAAGAATTTTGAACACTGAATATTTGTAAAGCTCATTTCGTTTAGTTAGTGAGCGCTGCATGAGACTCAGGTACGTTTTCATTTCCTTGTTAATGTTGCAAGGGTTTGTTGTATTACAGCAACGCCCTATCGACACAACTCCAACATTAGCCGCATCGTGTGCGTAAAAGCTGCCAATGCAATGCGCAGTGGCCCAGTGAAAATTTACAGACGCAGCAGCTTCTGACTTGGATTACCAGAAGCTGGGGCGACTCTAAATTTTGTTAGGGGGGCATCTTTTCGAACACCGGCAGTGGGGGTGGCACGTCACGACCCCAGCCCGGCAAGACGTATGCTCCACGTACATGAGCGTCGTGACCTACAGCTGCCTCATTCATGCACAGACTAATATTTATCCTCTTATGATGTGTTATATTTTATGCGCTGATTATTACTTCAGACAGAAGTGGCTATTAACTACTTATCCTTTCCTTATTTTCCGCTCTCTGCTTCCTTCAAGCATTTTTTAGGCTTTGCTTATCCGCTTATCCAATTTAGTTTTTCATTAATTTCTGTTCTGTTTTGCTTGTATTTTCCGTTTCGTGTATATAATAATTAGTTATATTTTTAGTATCTACTTTCGAATTTGTTAACGTAAAAATTTCTGCTTCGATTACTTATTAATTTTACTGACGTTTACGTAATAATTTCTACTTCATTTGTTACCACATTCGGCTTCGTTTAAATACTAATTTCTGCTTCAATTGTTTCTTTCTCGTCTAAATCCCTAGTTTCTGTTTAATTTTTATACTACTTCCTGGTCCTTTTGTTCAGCACTTTTTGTATCTTTTATTTACAGTTTCGGCTCCAAGTTTAGCCTACCGTAAGTGTAAACTTTGTCTTGATTAAAACGTTAAGTTCCCGAAGCTCCTCAAAAAATATAGTTTGCGGGAAACAAGAGAAACAATAGTAGCTGAAATAAATGCTCGGAATGAAGAATTTAAACGAATATACCGGTAACATATTATTCTCGTTTACTCTGAGACAAAGAAACTTAACATAGGGAAAAACTTTATAAACATTCGCGTCTTTAGGATGTAAGCCTTACTCTACGTCAATTATGCACGTTCATCTGAAGTCTACGGTTTAAAGAACGAATATTTAACTTACTACCTGACGTTTGCCAAACCGGAGATCCGGTAAAAAGGGCAGCAAATTTGTCACATAAACCATTTTTAGACAAATGTCTATCTATTTATTCAAAGAAAATGCAAGAGAATTTAAATTTTGGTCACAATACAAGCTTGATTTCTCGTAGTGTATGCTTCCGTCGGTTTTGATCATCAGCTGACGGAGATGCTAGAAAAACTGGAGCTAGTAACGAACAACATTTTGCGATGGAAGACCGTCACCGTGGTGATGTATTCCGACCACGCTCTCTTCGTTACCACTTTTCTTATGTTTGTTGAATTGTGTTTTGTCCGGCATTTAGGGTCATCACGACTGATGATTTAGTCATCGGTGGAAAAACTAGTAGTAGTTGCACTGGTAAATGCTGGTAATTATTCTAAATGAATGATTCCACTTGATTTCCGAGTGAACGAAAGGATTATATATGAGAAGGAAGTTATTAGGCAAAGAGAGACAAGTCGTAATAGTTATCTCATTTGAATATATTTCTCATATTTTTAGAGTGTGTTCATGTTGTGCCGTCAATATAATTTTGAAAGTTGCTGATGCTTTTACTAGCGACCAAGAAGTGCACCCAACATTGCATTGCTCGGCTCAACACGCATTTGCCTGGTAGGTGGAGCTGAGCGACACGAAACAGCAGCTCGAGGAGAGCGAGAACACAGTGGCGACCCTGCGACGCAGTCTCGAGAGCCTCCAGCTTCAGTCTCACAAACTGAGCAACGAACTGGCACAGCGGCAGCACCGCAGTCACCTCGTGGACAACAAGTGAGTACAGACACTAAAGACGACTTCTACATTAGCAGCCACTTTCTTCGTCGTCTTTCGTATTAAATTCCCATACTGCTGAAATCAAATAACTCGTTGCAGGATGTCATTAACTTGTGGTAGGTTCTTCATTTTTATTTAACATACCGCAAACGGTTTCTGCAAACAAATTAACACACAAATGAACAAGCGTAAATTATAATAGAATAGTGAAATAATCATGAATAACTCATCATTCCAACAGAAGTACTCTAGAATGAAAGTAGTAATAATATACGTAATAAGTATCCAAAAATAAATAGTTCCTTACCAAAACAGTGAGGGCACCGTGCTGTCGCACCAGTCGCAACCCGCTAACTGTGATACAAATTTCTATGGCTAGAACTTGCCTAATTCTACAAAGGAAAATTTTCAGTAATTTGTACTGAACATGACTTGACATAATCTGCGGCTGCAGACACATGCGTGGTCACCTCGTGGACAACAAGTGAGTACAGACACTGCGTGGTCACCTCGTGGACAACAAGTGAGTACAGACACTGCGTGGTTACCTCGTGGACAACAAGTGAGTACAGACACTGCGTGGTCACCTCGTGGACAACAAGTGAGTACAGACAC